GGGGTTCACATTCAACCGAAAGACATGAGATATATCCTACGTTGTATATGGAGATAATCTTTGTACACTTACATCAAGACGATTTGGTGTAGGTTATTAGATCACCGCCTCGATTTCATAGTGAAAAGTCTCTATCCAACCGTTGCATATTAGATAAATCCAGCTCAACCAAAGAGTCGTTTATGTCAGGATGCAACCACGTTTCTTGCAGCATAACTATCCCCAATGCATGGTACTTTTTCGACCTTGTCAGTTTCGTGAAGTTGCTCATTTTGCCAAATAGCGATCGTACGTTTGATGAACAAATGGCAGGGATAAACATTTTCTGAGGTTTTGTGTTACGTAAGGCCACTCGCCAGCCTGATCGGTGTTTTCTGAGGAAACCTGATCTGGACGGTCTGCATCTTTTCTACCTATTTTTAACTTGATTGAACTGATGGAGAATGCCACTCTTGCGAAATAACACAATGTTTCAAATTCTAAAGATTCCGGGGCGTACATAATCATGAAAGCGATGAAAGAAAACTTGATTCAAACAATTAAATCCAATGTGTAACGTAAAAGTTGATAAATTGTTCACTGGAGCACAACCGAATGTAGCACGGCCGAAATTTGAAGGCCCCGCCAAGAAGCATAAGATTTGAGTAAATCATTTGAACAAAGTGGTGGACGAGTGAGTTGCATGATTTGTGTTTGGTTAGGGGTTGAAGTCAACTTAGATGACAAATTTTGATATGGAGGTGAACTGGTCCGAAAGATGCGGTGAATGTGTTGGAGGGATGGGGAGGGAAGGTCATATCACGTCGTGCTCTGATAGGTTATATCCATCTCGTGATTTATATAGAAGAGAGGGATTCACAAAAATTGCCCCTGATTGGTTGTTTCTCTTCTGCTTCACAGTCAGTCACCTATCCAGTGAAACCTACACCTCTGATCCAGATTGATCGAGATATTTATCGTGGTACTTACGGTAATTTGCAAAGCTCCTTGACTGAGCAGCCATCGGTATCCAGTCATCATTTGCCGCCACCTGGGGCGGAGCTATCTCATGTTTCAAACAAAATTTCAGAAAACGCTGATCCGTTGGTGCAACAACCGAATAGAATGCAGATACATTCCACTGCTTCTCTGGATGTCAATTATGGGGATCTTGAGGTTTATAGTAGCAAAACAGACGAGGACCAGGAGGTGAGTTTCCTCTTTTAGTACTGAACGCAGGTGCATTTTATACCATTCACCCATATTTGGAGTATCACATGTGAGTTATGGAATTACAGTCAATAATGAGTAGTATATCAATGACAGGAAAAAAGTTTCCAGAAACATACGACCGGGTTTGCGGTCCTCGTGGGTCATCAGGTATGCGTATCCGGTCTTCCCTCTGAGCATTCTTATACTTGAAATCCCGATGTGAATTATACAACGCATGTCACTTGCTGCTTGGTAAGTGGGTTCGAGACGAACAGAAAACCGTATCTAGTCATTCATGTACCACACATTACAAAAACACTGGAAATCATTCCTGACGTCTAGTAGGTTGAAGTAAAACGCATCTAACCCAGAACGCCCATTACAGAATCATTGCAATGATTCTTCGAGGCCCGATCGTCTCGAATCCACTCTCAGAGCTACAAATGAGATTTGCGTTGCATAATTACAGTCAAACTTCTGCTATGGTGCACCGATGAGAGTCCGTCAGTTCCACTATGTCCTCACTTTTAAACAAACCCATAACAACCCGTATACGCAATAAAATAGGTTTTAACTATGGTCACCCATGGTTTGAGACACTGAGCGATATGGTTGGGTGTCGCAACGGTGGCGCTCACGCATCTACTCATTATCCTTGCAACCTTAGTTTATATGAATTCTCTTCCAGCTGAATTTGCTCTCAACATTCCAATCTTCATTCTGCTCTTTTATCTAAATAGGCGGTCAGAAACTAGCAACCAAAACCAGCACAAGTGCATGGTTAATGGTGATTACGGGATTCACAGAAGCGTGGCACTCCAGAAAGGACATGTAGAACTGGAACCCATCTATCACTATCTAAGGAAACACTGGTTACCCGGGGCTGTCGCAGATAGAACCCGTCCAAAACCAGTTAAAACCAGCGTGGAACCGGTTCCAAACCGGTTTGTGGTTAGTCTATGAAAGCCAGTCGACCATTGAGAAAAAAGGGTGGTCACTATGATAACGAAACCGCCAATCAACTCACAGCAAACGGATGATGCTGACCGATAAGATAAAAGGGACGCAAACAGCCAACCGAACCCATCAAACGGAATTATATAAGCCCGATCCCACTGAGGACTGGCGCTTCTACGAATTCGCGCTGATGATGGTGCTTATCTTAGCTACGAAGCGTCTGCGAACAATACTTCCAGCTCGGAGAACTCACCAACCCCAACAACTGCATCTCGAGCTACAGCTATTCCACATCATGTACAATTTCATTTCCATTTTCCATCAAGAGCAAAGATAATAGGAAGTAAAAGTAGAACGAAGGTATCAGTTATAGAAAGGGAACTACGATAGACAAATTGATTGGGTCCACATGTAGCCGAGGAGAGATTTCATTCAAAAGGCTTTTCTCCAGGACATTCTGAGAAGCTGAGTAAGTGCTATCAGATGTAACTGAGTGACACTTTTCTCAGTGACCGTTCAACCGGTATCAGAGCACTTCCAGGTAAAGTGTAAGTTTAAAAGGTCTGCTAAATTTTAAGAAACAGAGCTAATATGTTCCCGATCGGAATTCATCCCGAACGGATTGATAACAGGTGAAGCGCAGGACCTCAGGGATCAAATTCTGTGAGGCTGTAGTTGAGGACTTCGACATCTAAGCTGAACTACTGAACACTCCATTTGCGGCTACTGATTAACCCCAATTACTTCCATATTTCACACACTGTCATCGACATGAAAAACGACACATTTGTAATTGAGACTTGAGAGCCTTAGAGATCCTAACCACTGAGTGGCATGTTCCATTGGGCGGAAATGTTTTATGTTGTCGTGTTGCGAAAAGATCGCTGCAAAATGTAACAATCGCATGGGAACTGACAAATTTGAAAAGCGGATTCAGTTTTTTGTTTCAAGTAAACTTGTTCCCTTGGGCTACCCATTGCACAACAACTTGGTGTAGTTCATTCATTGTGGAGCACTAAAGGCAGTTGTTGATTGCACATTTCGATATTTTATCAATGCGTCCTAGAAGGCATTCAGTGATTTTAATACCACCCACTTTCACTGAACGGTACGGCATTAATGTAAAAACCAATTCGTAGAGAAACCGAAGGTGAATAAGGCTACTGATGAAAACAATTTACCAGCGCAGGTCAACAAAGCTTGTCTCTCAAAATTGCAAGGTTTTTCTGTAGGTTAAATAATGAGGGGGGTTGGGAAACATCCATCCTGCTCTTGGTTTCAACGATAGATGAAAAAATTACCTACATGGGAATCAGCCTGTCAAACATAGCTGCTGAAATTCTCTGTGCACTAATGCTCCAGATGCACGGTCACGCTGATTTCCGTACCTGTTGATTAGAACACCACTTTAAGCTTCACACTGTAAGGGTAAATAGCCTGACCGAACCTCACACAAACTTTGATATAAATCAATTGAAACGTTCCGTGGATAACAGTAAAGGAAAATAAAATGCCGGGTAAACTTTTATGATTATCTAGCATATCGTACTTTTTTGTACTCGGTCACGTATGAGAATCTGCCAAAATGTTTACCCAATAAGGAATTAATACAAGGCTATCTGAGCTTTCCAGGGTTTAATTTTTACTCAATAGTTTGGTTAATGATGAGACTTTCGCCGATCTCATAGTGTACAATTTTAGACAAAGAGGTTGTTCATCGAATGGACAGCATAAGATAAATACTATGAATGCATGGTGGAATTGATTTGGGTACATATTCCGTGTATTGAATACTGTTATGCCCCCTGTCCGGACTGTTTTGCGAAACTTGATCATCAGAAGCTAAAATATAAGGCATTTGTCCAACGCTTTCTGCAACGAATTCAGTTCAGTTCGGTTTGTACAACCATTAACCATGCACTATCGTGCGCCGGTTTTGGTTGTTGTCTTTTGGTTGTGCATTTGGATAAAGAATAGGAAGACAGAAGAAGTAAGAAGAAGACAGTGAGGTTGAAAGTAGAGTCGAAAAGAAAAAGGAGAATTTCAGTGGTTTAAGGTTGCGAAAAATTGAGAAAATGCATAAACGCCACTGTTTACGACACCCAGCCATATCACTCAGTATCTCTAACCATCGGCTACGATCATCCCGAGGTCCCCTGGTTAGGGTTTTCATACCCTCGTGCCAGGTCTTAGCTTGACCACCCTTGGCTTTTTTCATACACTACCTACCTCGACAAAAATCGCTCGCCGTGGCAACCTATTTAGTAACATGCGTAAGACATACCCAAACCAGCGTAATCTATGGAGGTCGACCACTTGTTCCAGTGGGCGACCGCGGTTGCCTAAACCTCTGTGGCTAATCTCAGCATTCCTCGTCCAGTTGTCCCACCAGACTCGTGCAATGCGAAGTATGCAGCGGTGTTCAAACACCGACAGTCTATCTTTATCCTGTTTTCTTACTGGCCAAATTTCTGCTCCATATAAAAGAACTGGCCGAAATGCTGCAGCGTACACTTGACCCTTCACAGACAACCGGATGTCGCGACGGCGCCACAGACGTCTCAATTTGGCAAATGCCAATCGAGCCTTCTGTATGTGAGCTGACACATCCGTGATGTGTACACCGGGTGAGATGTAAATACCCAAGTAACAAAACTTATCTACCTGCTCTATTACTTCCCCAGTTAGAATGAGGCTGGATACTGAACCAACCCAGTCTTGTAGCAGCATTGTACACTTTGAAGGTGCAAAACCGAATACCGCTAAACTAGCACTCACATCATCCAGAAAAGCTTGCAACTTACCTGGATCATCACTTAGTAGCATATTGTCGTCTGCTTACTCTAGATCAGACAATCTCTCACCTGGAAGTAAATCGAGGCCGCTATTCTCGCACGAGGATAGGGATGTTTTCATAATAAAATCTATAACAAAGTCAAACAGAAATTTAGATAGAGGGCAACTCTGACGAACACCAATTTGCGTGGTGAACTCGGGCGAAAAAGTGACGTTAGCTCGGACTCGGCTTCAGCTATTAGTATGAAGCGATTGTAGGATTGAAATATACTTCTCGGGCACACCTTTCAGAGAGAAGTAGCGCCAGAGTTTAGAGCGGTCGACTGAGTCGAAAGCGGCTTTCAGATCAAGGACAGAGATGGTGGGTCTACAAAAGGAATGTCGATGCTCCAGAACTTGGCGAAGAGTAAAGATGTGGTCGATGCAACCTCGAGCGGGTCTAAAACCAGCCTGGTTCTCGCGGCAGACAGTCGTCGGAGCATGATGCCGGCGAGAAACTTGGAGATGATTTTGATTAAACTCATTCCCCTGTGGTTTTCACAGAAGCCTTTCTTGTATGATCACCGATTCACACCTATCAGCTGGAACCTCTTCCTTCTCCCACACTGCACCCAGGAGTTCTGCAAAGAATACCGAAATTTGTTTGAAGTTATCGGTTTTCCAACAATCCAATCAAATAATGATGGTTAAACATCAAAATGCTAATGGAAATTCTTTAACGCGGTTGCTTAATAATGGATGTGTTGCATCCTATGGCGCCAAGCCACCAATTTGTCGAGCGCGATGCCCTTTCCTTCACGTCTAAGTTAAAACTGTCGGCTTGGAGGACCATCCAATACGTATGCAAATAGTGAAATCGGATGCGCAACACTTTGGATTAAACCTGATCAACAGAGTGCAGCTTTGGAGCCGTGATCGAATCACCATATGACTACCATCGCGCACGGAAAGCTCAAATTCTCAACTTGCTAGCTCCTGCTTCAACTGAACAACTTCTGACAGTTGATATTAGCCGTTCTTTTGAAATAGAGGATGATCAAAAATTAATTGATCTAAAGTGGTATAAAGTATCCAGCCCAGATGGGAAGTCCCATCGGCTTTTAGGAATGCAATGTTAACC